TCTAATCTGAAATCAATAAATCCCTACAAACCACCAGATAGAATTAACCTAGTGCTCACTGGTGACTAGCTTTGAGAGGTGATTCGTGAAGTTCCAATGAGAAGTCGTGACTAGTGGAGTCAATCAAGTTGAACATGAGGACTGTTACTCAACGACGACATGGATGGAGGTCGCCATATATCGTGAACTGACAGAAGTAGGAAATATGAACCATTTAATTCCCACCCAATGACTCAAAGTTAGCTTGCTGGCCACGGAACTTGAAGGTCATGGATTCGATCTGTGGTGGTGTGGGTTTATGAGTTTGCAAAGCTGAGGAGCCCCTTACTAAGATGTAACTGCTTTCCGGTGATCCCAGGTCCCCAATATTCCTCCAAGTGATGTTAGTCCATGATGAATTGCAACCTGAAATCAACTAACTAATCTCCGCAAACCTCCAAATTGGAAAATTGAAATAGCTACGTCACATGTGGGCTACTTGGAGTAATGGATGGTTTACGATGGCCAAGGTAAAGAAAGATGTTGTATATACTCCCTTCGAAAGTATAATGATAGTTCGAATTTTTGAATTGCTGAGGATATGCCCTGATGTTTTAGCCTCATTCATTTCAACTGGCTTGGTCGCAATTTGTTCAGAACTTTGAAGGACTTATTAACTTTAATAACACAAGTACATTGTATTTACACTATTGAAGTGGTTTGACTCATTAGCAGCCTGAAAGCACTTTGGCCTTTAAGTGTGAAGGTGCTACAAATGAACCTAGTTAGTACCAATGCATTACAGTTTAACTGTGATACATATCTATGTTAAAAGTTTATCTAATGTGTTTAAATGAAAATTCACAACAAAAGCAACTGTATTGCCAAACCTGAGCAACTACAAAAACAGAATCTGAACGAAGAGAATGTAACTCAATACATCCATTCATACTGACAAAAAAAGAGTTAGCGAAATTACAAAATGAAGAGTGAGTACATCATTTTTATTCTTTGAGATAAAGACCGCGAGACTTCGTGGTTGGCACTTGAGCTTTCAGTCACTCGGTCCGAATCCAACCATTCATACTTTATAGTTTCAATCAATTCTTCTATAGACATTTAGTTTTATAATAACCCAGAGCTCATTACTGACTAACTGTGAGACAGAGTTTTGGGGACGTTCTTTGGAAGCCAGTCAAGGCACATGTGAAGAGAGAAACGCTGAGACGATACTGAATGATGGTATTATGAGATGAAGTAAACTATCGGTAACGGGCTTATTACAACATAGACAGTGTCAAACTAGTTCAAAACAGTTAGCTAGTGTTCTGTGCCTTTCAGTGTTTTTCCGCAGATAATATCTATTGATGATGAAGACTGTCTTTCAATTGATAGACTCCCTGTCAAAAGCTCCACTGAAAAAGCGTGATTTATTTTAATGTTATTTAATTTTTGATGGTATCACAATAACTGGTTCGCTATTCAAAGAGGAAACATCAAAAAGTTATCTTGAATTCAATATATATTTCACTCTTTCTACAAGCTATTTTGAACAAATTTGGTTGCGTTAAACTATGGAACGAATACGAAAAGAAATCCAATATTTTTAGTGGGCTCTGCTGATCATAATGGATATAAGTAGTATATGCTGAGGGGTCAGCAGAAATTGTAGGCAATTACCAGCGTTGAGTAGAGATTCTACCAAGAAAAACTCAAGAGGCAATGTGGGCGTATTAACAGCAAGTCGAGAGAGGAGCAAAATATCACCCAGTGTTTACTACTCGTCAGACTAACCATATGTTGCCTTAATGATGACATTCTCCATATTGAGAAAGCTGTCAATAGTTTGGAATCATTGGCTGAGAGCTTACTATAAAGTATTTATATACAAACGAAAATTCAACACAAAATAATCAGGATTAGAGATTATTCGACATATTGGCGATTGGCATCGACTAATAACTGAGGGTGATCGAATATCCTGTTCACCTATGTCTACATATAGTCGATCAAATGTGAAATGATTTTGGAACATATTTAGTGTACCCAGTGACTGAGTCTTTAACTCGTTTGTCGTGAGACCTCTAGATCCTAAGTTTGACCCCTGGCGAGGTTGTGTGTGTACTAGGATGCAAAGCTGAACAGTACTCCCAGGGTTTCCCTGGCTCTCCAGTTGGTGGGAGTCCAAGGTGATAACTACCGTGACATATTCAATGTTTTTGAAACTTTTGTCTCTGTGCTAGGTAGCCATGTGGAGACTGAATTTTATGCATGTTATTGTATTGCTAAAATTTACCCACTGCATCGGATAAGTCAAAAACTTATTGCTTCCATTTTCCTGCCTGTCAAGTTCCCATGTAGAATGCTACTTCTCAACCTGGACAAATTCTTCTCTGCTCTCTCGTTTTTCAATGATCTACATACAAGTTAGAAGCAAACTTACTAATGAATGAATGTTACACACTACTTAACGCACTATATGTGGCAGTGGTTGCAAGAAAATGTGTCTACGAACAAGAAATACGCGTTTTGCTCACTGCGATTACCACCATCGTATCTCTACTAATGTTCTAAACGCCTTGGTAATGTTTGTCCTATCAGTAGCATGATTTGTCAAGGTATGATCAATGAGAGTTCGAATATTTTCTTGCTGATCTTGGTCAACCAATTCCTGACACTGATTTAAATAAACAAAGACTTTTGCTAGACTTAATTGAAGCAAATGTTGATTTCAATTTGAAATCATTCAGTTAAACACCTAATATCAAAGGGTACTGAAAAAGTTTCTTCATCCATATTCTCCCTAGCTAGAATGTATCTGTATGTGGCTACTCCATGGAACATGGAATCATGAGTCTCTTAAGTTAGACTATTATATTTGCAAAAACAAGTCCAACTCAACCAATCCTAAAAAAGTGTTAACTTATGTCCAATCTAATCTATACGGTATTCACATAATTCACGACATATTAAGTCCGTACGGATCAAAAATCCGAATTCAGCTTATTTGAACAATTCAACGGTATGAGTCAAATTTACTTGGATAAGCCGCTGATGAGCTTAGCACTACAGTAACGAAATGGCTGGCGGATTTTCAGATCATTTTCATTTGACTGGTGAAATTTCCCCGTAGTATGAGATTTTCTGAATTATTCACTTCTTTTCAGTGTATATCCACTATTCTTCGAGGTCGGATACTTAGTGAAATTTATTTTTCATCTCTGTCGGGTCATACATTATCCAATGATTATTTGAAGGAGGAAAACTCATCTGTACTTCACGGCGGATATTCGGAGGTAGTCGAAACAACTTATAACTAACAATTAACAACTAATACCACTTGTCATGAAGGTGGAAACATAAGTGTGGTGGAAGGGATGTTTATCCAGAGATAGTAACAGTATTTACTTCTAATTCATGTCATGGACGTCATCAATGAACCATCCAAGTCATCAGTAACCTTCCACTAGGACAAGAATAAGTATACTTCTACCTTTTAGACGTTAACAAGATACTGTTAAACAACTCCTTACTTTAATAATTCATCAGTATGCTTGTCAACATACTGATTATCTAGGTAATCTCCTTCCTGTAGTCAAATGTTTGGCTTATAATTTTGGTGGATTGGTGAATTTCACACATATTTCGCAGCCTTCTGAGTCATGGGTTTTTGTCTACATACTTGACTTTACTGTAGCGATACTTGTAATTTCCTCGTTGCTACACAGAGTCGAATTACTCCAGCCTCGGTGTGACCATGACTCACTCTGAAGCAGGTGCATCCAGCTAGCGAGTCCCGAATAGGACGAAACGCGCATCCTGAATTCCTCTGCTAATCACCAAGATCAATATAATAACTGACTTTAGTTTGAAGAGCCTCTCCATAAAAAACACTACTCAAGATGAAATCAAGAAAATAATGTACCATTATGAATCTGTTTGTTGAAGATGTTTTTTCTTTATCTCTTAAGAGAACTGGATCAAATACTGCCCCCTTAGTAAGTTTCAGTCACTATTTCAAATTAAGTACCTCACCTCATTAAATGATCAGTTTCATCAAATATATACCAGTATGATGACTGATATTAAAAAGAAAACCTCAATTCTGACAGGATTCGAACCAACGACATCACTGTTATCCATCCAGTTCTCAACCAGCAGATCTAAAAATCTTAGCAAATGACGAAGTCCCAGTTTCCTTTTAGTCAGTAAGTGTTCTCTAAGATGTTATCGTACTAACTGACTAATCTCATGTCTTCGCATACAAAATCGAGATGAATGTTTAAACGAAAATAACTAATTTCCTATTGGTTCATTTATACTGGAAGGAGTGGCTGAAATAAAACGGAAGGCCAAGTAACAAAAGGATTCAACTTGGTTGCCATTAGATCACCAGCCCAATGTTATGCTGTCTGAGTTATGAAATGTGACCATGAGAAATACTTTGAAATTGTTATTGATCTGTGTATAAACACAAAGTTGAACCTTTATTTGCGATAATTATTTTAAATGAACTCACTAATAACTGAAGATATTTGAAACAATAAGTTTTTTCTCTAAATATATTCGGGATGTTAGTAACAGATAATAAACTCAGTTGTGTGTAGAAATTGATGCTTTTTCCGAAATCAGTTTACATCTTTATATCATTTTATTAGTATATCTGCTCGTAATTTGTTTAAATACTGCACCACATAGCTGTTCAATGTTTCAACTGCGCGTAGGTCGGGATGTGGGTTTTCACTCGAATGAGGATTATGATTTGTGTTGTGATTGCTAGTGTTTCTGTTTCTCTCTACCATAAGGTCATTCTCACCTCAGTAATGAAATAAAATTCAAAGACCTAGGCGTATACATTTATTGATGAATAATAAATATATTATCTTAAATTGTTGTTTTTCTTTTTTTCTCTCGAGTCATTCGTTGTTAATGGTTACGGTGATCGTTATTCTTATTGGTTTACACGCTATTTTCTATGAAAAAACATTCGAATTTATTGTCGTTTTATCATTCTTTGCATTGAAGCATACAAAAACTATTGTACACATTAGTTGGTATATTGACTACTTGGCATTAGATTTCAATTGACTTCCTTTTTCATTTCTGCAACCATATTGAGGGAAATACTAAGTAAATAGGTAAGTCTATTATGGTTTATTCATGCTCTGAGGATATTTATTCCTGAAAAGTAATTTGTTAACTTGATTAGAATTATGAAGTACCATCTTGTCACTAATTATAGTTAATTGTTCACAGACAGCCTTATAGGTGCAGCCGTGGTAAATTTTTAATTTAAAAGCTCGTTTCTGAGGCTAGTTACGAACTGAGTTCGAGTACAGAGCTTTCAACAGGGTTACTTAGCCGACACTTCTTTCAATGAGATGCACTACTGTAATACCACTGGAGTGACGGGATTAAATGCTATCTTCAAGTCAAGGAATATAGCTAATGTCTGGTTTTAGGAAGTCTATTCAAAGATATGATAAAGGGTGAATATCTAATTAATACACGCATGGCAAGGTCTGAAACCTGTTTGTTTCTCCGGTTTTGTTTTTCCAAGCATCACTCAGGGATCTGATGATTATAGAACCTAGAATCTTTGATACAATCTTCGTCAGATGTATTTCTTTGTGGTCATCATAAAAGACATTTTTTTCCTCAAAGACTGCGACAGTAAGCGGTTGAGACCAATCAGAATGGATGTCCTCTAGTTCCCATATACCAGCTAAAGCTCCGGTTAGTCCAAACAATATTCCTTGTCTACAGTCACCATGTAGTTTCGGTGCAAGCCCATCAAGGTCTACTACTCTTTTCTGTTTAGGGTTATTAAGAGCCTCAGCAATATCTGAAAGAGTTAGAGGTCTTATCTCAATGTCGTACTCAGGCTCCAGTCGTTTAAAGGAAACTGAAGAGTGATTAAAGGCAAGCTGAATTTTTCCCAGGTGTGTTTCACAGATTGTTTAAATCATGTCCCCTGTGAGTTTATAGCATATCCATCTATGCCACCTGTAAGCTCATTAAACAGCCTTTTCAACTGCAGTTCGTTTGTTAAGCATAAATAACTGTATACTATTGCCCAAACACTGGCCCTTTCTAACCTTTTCTAAGGGTCAATCCCAGTGCTTATCACTGATTTCACAGCCGATGGGAGTTTGTGATTGGATTCTTGATAATGAGTAACGTTGTCATGTTCTGATAACAGTCTAATCGAAGCTTCCAAGAAAGTAGCCACAGCATCCTTATCATTGGGCTGTCCTCGAGGTGGCTTCTCAGTTGCGGTATTCCTACATCTATGCGAGCAAACAGACGTGCTCGAATGTAAATATGTCTATTGATCAGAAAGTGTGCTAGAAGTATTGGGAATTTTCCACTGACGCTTCTACGCGATAACTGATAGCGGTATGCTCTGTCTTTGTCCACCGTAGAGTTGAGGTCAATGCATGCCGCATCAAGTTTTCGTGATGGCCAGAAACAGGTGGCTGCCTGAGTGAACTTGTAGCAGTTGACTGTCGTAATGAGATCATTCTCTTTGGGCTCCGGAACTATCGCCTATGTACCTCACTTGGTCTTCTTATTTGCGCATGGAATTTACTCGCTGTGATAGCTACGTCTGAACGTTTGACTTTAAGTAAGGGCTAGACAGTTTTCGGTTAACCTATCTTTCACTTCATCTGAAATGCAGACAGTAAGTGCGTAAGAAAAGATTACAAACAGAAGACGAAGAGTTTGATCATTTTTTCCAATTCATCATTCACAGTTCAACACTACAGGAGGCTGTCCAATAGGATCCAGTCAAATAGGGCACTTTCTGCCTTAGAACCAAAACTGAACACCTACGTCTGTAAGATCATGATAACTAGTCATCGAATCTCCAGTAATGCAAAGGGTGAACTCAGATTCGTCGAAATGGGTGAGTGAGGTTCAAGAAATAACCATACTTGAATCTTGTACACTTGTCTCACAAACACAATACACGCTCATGAACCAAGATGTCAGAGTCTCATTATATGGTTTGCCGGAAATTGCAGGTATCAGAGTTTCGACATGAAGGGAGGAAATCAGTTTTATGGGATCAGGGTTGCTGTTTACCGAGCTCAAACCGTTATCAAGAGCTGCATAGCCCGAAGAAATTAAAATGATGCGTCACTATTGACAGAAAGATGGGTAGAAAGATTAGAAAGTAAATATGTGGAAGCTTGATAATGACCTAAGAGAACTTGAGTACCGATAGAAATGTGAGGACACTTGGCATTTTAAGCCATCCACACCCTGATAGATCACTTCTAATTGCAACATCTGAAGAAGAAAGTGGTATGCGACCATACAGTTCAGGGGAGAAGTGTTTCAGGCCATTCTACTCAGGCGTTTGGGAAAGCATTTGATTTATATTGGATTACTTCACGTTTGAACTTAAAAGCACTATACCATTAGCATGAGGATACCATGTGACAGAGAATACTCTGCTATTTTCAGGACCAACTATTTGTAAATACTTCTGTCAATAAGGAGAGGAGGCATTGTTATGGAATACTGGTTAACCACAAGAAACATCCTACTACTGTTCACTCCATATAACTAGTAGCATAAGTTAGTGTTTGAACCGTCATCTTCACGTGAACTAGTTAAGCTCTAACGGTAATTGCTATGATTCTTACCAATATCCAGAAAGATCTTTGAGTATGGTAGGACATTATGAAGGAGTCTTCCTAACCAGTATAGCTGATCGGTTAATCTGTATATGCAAATTCAACCACTACGTCAATATGTAACCCAGTAATCCCTTACTTCAGTGGATAATTTAACAAGTGTGAAATCGAACCATTTTCTGGAATGAAAATTGGTGAGAATCAATTTAAGGTATTATATTTGTTGCATTCACCAATAAACTGTGTCAGCAGTCCACTGGAAACCCCTTATTTATCTGATATTTGTGGTTTATTAACTATTTACTTTTGTGACAGATGTTAGTTTTGGTCACAGAAAACTTTCTGCAAGACCAAATCAAGTTCATGAATCACCTATGATCTATTAGAGGATGCTACACTATTGTAAGTGGTTCTTATCGAACTTCGTTGACCGGGTAATGAAGGTCAACCATCTCAACAAATGAAAATGAAATTATATTGCATAATATTAAGTTTTAAATGACTTGAGAAAACTTGAGTTTTACGCTTGAATATGTTCTTTGTAATTGGGGAGAGATATCACACTACTTACAACCAATGTCTTGTGGTATGGTATCAATGTAAAATAGTCGTTGAATACACCAGATCGAAATAACCATTTTCTATATGCCTATCTGCTTGCACCGATGACCTCCCTGTTTGCGTTCGAATCGACTGGACTAGACTTGATAATGCAAGAAAATGTGAAGAGTGAGAAGAGGGGCATACGCCGGCTGGAGGGATGAAAAGACCTCTGAAGAAGATTTCGATTTCACCAACGATAATGATTTGTGTCTAGTGTCTAATGTCTCACAAAATCCATGATGTAAAGGCGAAAACCAACAAGTTAACGAAAGAGGTGGGGCAGTACAGTGAACACGGGACTTCCTTCAGGTAAACGTAGACAAGACAGAGGTGATGAAGATACCTAACTAACAACAACAACAGCACCAACAACAACAATCACTAACCATCATGAACGGGGGAAAAGTGAAGGGAGTTGTCTCTTTCACATACCTACCTACCTACATACATACATACATACACACCTACACACCTACATACACACCTACGTACATCCGTATCTACATACCTACCTACATACATACCTACACACCTACACACCTAAACACCTACCTACCTACACATCCACTCACCCACCTACCTACCTAGACCACATCCTTTCAACTACAGGAGGCACAGGCACACATCAGGACGTCGAAACCATGAACGGGATAGCAAAACAGGCCTCCATTAACATGAAATCAGTGTGGAGATCCACTGCACTGCACTGCACTGAACTCAGAATAAAGCCTGAACAAGATCCGGATTTTCAACACCAATTCAGTCAAGTAAGTCACTACTTCCACATGATGGTTGAGAGACTTGACATGTTACGAAAAGCATTTCCAACAAACTGCAGACATACATCACATCAACAGCTACCACCTACTCTCACTCCACACTGAAGATCAGATCAGATCAGATCAGATCAGATCAGATCAGATCAGATCAGATCAGATCAGATGGATGATCAGAATGATAAGAATAAGCAGGAAGAAACTGTGGCTGGCAACGAACCAACCAAGAACCTATCAACCAACAAATATGTAGAAGGAAGTGGAGATGCATTCAATTGGATTGGATATACACTGAGAAGACGGTTTGTGGACATCACGCGTCAGGTTAGGTGAGGTTGTCGAGTGTAAGCTGGATGGGAAATGACGGGTTGGGCGTCTGAGGTGAGGTTGATATGGAGGAGATGATGTAAGGAATAAATGAGAGCTAGTGTGGAGTTGTGGAGCGAGGTTGGAAAGACTGGAGAGAACAGAGTGGGATGGTGACGTGCTACTGAAGTCCTATGTTGCCCTGGGAACTCAAGGAATAAATAATAATAATAAATGACTTGCTCAATAAAATTGAGGAAGTTAACGGAAAGCAGACTGTGTCAGTCACCTTGTTGGTAAGCTAATCATCAGAGTGTTCAATTACTTCACATTCGATATATCTCTCATTTTTAGTAGCTGGCTTTACTACATTCTAAGAGAGGTAGTAGATTTCCGTTAACAATTAATTTCCTCGTTTTACAAAGCATTAGTATAGCAATTTTCCATTTGTGTGTGCATGATTACTACTCTTAAGTGGAAAACGTGGCGCAAAATATTACCTCACTGATTTAACATAGAAACACAAGGAAGTAAAAAGAAGCGTTTTCAGTCTCCGTTCAGAAATATCTGATCGCCTTACCATAAGTAGTTGTAGTTTCCTTCGTTTAATTTTAAGCTTGGAGTAGAGATTGATCTGATTGTTAACGAACCATGATCTTTCTCATGATTAAAGCAAAAAACTAAATTCACCTAACTCAAATGGCTTATAAGCTTCTTGCACGAATGCTTCAACATCGCCTTGGAAAAGTTCTAGCTCATTCTTAATATTAACTTACGTTGATATCCAGCAGATATTTCTAATCTTAT